CACAGACTGTGGTATAAGAAACCAAATTGTCTTAAAATTTTTCAAAGAAAAATTTCAAGTTTCTTATATGCGGGTACATAAAGTATGCTCTTAGATATGCTAAAATTTAAAATTGCACACCAAACCAAATTTACAATAGCGTTTTTATAGAAAACTTCTGTTTACACACCCCATGATTTGCCAATAATGCGATTTTTTCAGAATAGGGAGGGTAGAATCCAAAAAATCACTCAAAAGCGACAAGCAGCAACCAAAGAAAGTGCCTGCATCTTCATCTCTGACACAGGCCTTGATTTTGATCTGTCTCTTCTTTATGGTTGACTCCAAGAGGTTAAACGACTCTGAAAGATCTTCAAATTTCTTGTCACTTTCTGACTTATTTGAAGGCAACGGGTGATGTGGATAATATGCGGAAGAACGCCGTAGTGTCACAAAAGCGCATTTGACAGTTGATATGTCCTCATGGTGCGATGATGACAATCAACTGCGATCAACTTTTGTCTTATCGAGGTGAAGACCTATTTAAGGGTCCTCTTTATGGTCTGGTTTTTACGGTATGCCATTAAATTTAGAATGATGAAGGGGTCATAGGGGTCATAGGGTCATAGGGTCTGGTTTTTCCAGTATGCAATCATTGACTTCCGTCATTTTTGAACATGCCAATGGGCACCAATCGCCACGAAACGCACGCGTGGCGGAACTTACCGGGGTCAATCAATGTTTGCATTAACACTATACTTTCTTATCAATGCAGTGTAGCTAAAAGCGTCAACTAAGGTTGAAAGTTTTAGTGTAAACAGGGCTTATGATGCTTTAATTTATCAAATGATGTAGATGTTTCTTGGACTCGTAACATGAAACCTTTAGATTCTTTGGTAAAAACAGTAAAACAAGAAACTTTTTTAGTATCAAAGATGTCTTTAGCAATTAAAGGAAACTGGGAAAGCCGACATTAGACAATTAAGTTATTGTGAACTCGTTTAATAGGTATTTTACCTCTCTCTCGTGCTCTTTTTTAATAAGAATGCTTTAGAATTTTTCCAGCCTCGATATTCTTAAGAAATTTTTCTTTTGACACTGAATGTATTCTTAAAGTATTCATTTTTTTTCATCTGATATGGTTTCCGGGGAACATCACCAATGCTTGAATTGAAACCACGCTTTTTGAAAAAAAAATATATCGGTTCTGCAATTTTCTGTTCCCATAAAAGGCAAAACAAAAATCCCAAAACAGGCAATTGTTGAAAGATGAGCCACAAGTATGCTAGCTGAGGTTGAGCAATATTCTTAAAATATTCGCAAAAAGTGGACGATTTTGAATATTCTCACATACATATTCTGATAAAAGAGAAAGAGTATAGTTATGAATAATGTCCCCCCTTATCAAATTTTCAAAAATCCACTCTGGGCATTTTTAACCCCCCCGCCCCCTAAATAATCAGCATTAGCAAGAAAGTATAGAAAAGCGTCAGATGCTGATCAACAGGCATTCCATTCATTTTGACTGATACATCATGCAGGCTTGAGGCCCCTTCAACATGTTCATCATATCCAAAATACCAGCTTCAATTCTTAGAAAGTATAATAATAGAAAAGAGTTTAGGGAGGAGGGGGCCCCTTTGATTGAGGACCTCTTTTTGAATTAAAAAAATTAAGTAAGAAAGAGCAGATAGATACAAAGAAATAGTGAAAAAAGTATGAAAAGGGTTGCTTAATCACGTTTTTAGTATACTTTGTATTTTAAGAAAAATGATCTTGTCTATGTAATTTCTGTTTCACATTTTAGAAACTGCTAGCCATCAACCCCGTTTATCATTATTTGAGAAATTTCCCATCTACTCTGTTTATTCCAGACCATTTGTCCGGAACCTTGTGTTCAATCATGCAAAAGTATAAGACAAAGTAACAATCACCATTATAACGTTTCAGAGTAACAATCACCATTACAAACTGATTGAAAATTTCTAATAAAGTTATTCAAAGCCCTGTAACCCATGAGAAGATAAATGACATTGTAGAAACAATGACATTGACTGTTAATAGAAACAAGCAAACGACTCTTATAATGTTCCTCCAAAGGTTATCCAAATTATTTAGTTTGTTTTTATCCAAACAATCTTCATTCAATTTTTAAACGTTGTTTTATTTTTCTTTCTCATCCTGATATTTTTCTTTCTTTCAAGCCTAAAACTTTACAACTAATTCTTACAGTTGTTGTAAAATTTTGCATAATCTTGGAACCTTAAGTTTTCACAATTTAATCAATGTAAGGGCACGTGGCTCGGGAGCTATCTATAAATCTATTCAAGTGTCAAAAAAATTAATTCATTTGATGATACCCCCAATTTTAAAGCACTGTTTTGCTAAAAAGCTACGATGCATAATAAATGGATTCGGCCCAATATAGGAGGCTCCCAATCATTCCCGTCCTGTTAGTCAGTGAAGAATGACTCCCCGCAAAGTTATTTTTGTCTGGAATGAATGAAAATGCCAGAATTACTATACACCTGCAAATGCAGGGCCGTAAATCCAGGGGATGGGCGGGGAGAATAGACCCCCAAAAATCTGGGGCCACTATGTCACGGTGTCAAGTGCAAGTTGTCTATTGTTGATGGCCATGATTAATTTATGCAAAGCGGTATCAAGTCAGTGACTGTGCCCAAGTGGTGAATCGCCCTAAATCTCTTTTCCACCGACCACCTCTTGAATAAATCTCTAAAAATATGCAAGAAAAGAATCGTACAATTCACCATAAACCTCTACAAGTCCACATTACACCAATGTTCCTTACACGCTTTTTTAAAAATTACCTTCTGCTATTTTAGCAAACTGTTATGCTATTTGATCTATTTTCTAACTTATTTACGTATATTTCTATAGTTTTTCTATCATTCCCTTTTAGTCAGTAAATCATTTTCTTTATTATCGAAAGAATTTATTTCAGATTTGTAAACAGGGCCGACGTAAGAAACTCGAGATAAGAAGGATGCACATGTTCAGAAAATAAAATTCAATAAAACCAATCACTAAAACAGCTTCCCATTATTTACATCGATGTGCACTCTGAGCCAAAGTTCACCCTTTCTTTCTTTGCCTAGCGTCTGTCACTAGAATTTAAGCAAGACCCTTCCCATCCCCAATTTCTCCCTCTGAAAAAACGTCCAATTGTCCATACTGAGTGGTATGGAATTTTGTTAAGCTTGGTCTGGGAAATGCCTTTTAAAGCCTTTCTAGAAGGTATAATTTCAAAAATTTTCTTGCGCCCATGTCCTCATACGTCAGTAAACTTGATACCTAGCCACGCCCAATACATCTTTGGAAACAGCTATGTTCAAGCAGATTGCTGAGGAAACGCCCATGATTAAATTATAACAAATATTAAAGGTGTACTCACTTCGATGTTTAACCTATAGCCAACATATCATATACATTTGGCAGATTAAATTCATCGTTTTCACAATCTACCATTATATCTTTATCAAAGTCAAAATCCATTGCAGAAAATGTAAGATTGCGTCTTCCAGACAAGAGCAACTTGGAATAATACAACAATTTCTGTGAAAATCGTCTGTCATCAGCTTCTCCTCCAGACAATTCCAATCATCCTTACATATATTGCGCTGTTGCAAAGTCCACCATGGAGGCAGTAATTTGCTTTCGAAGGTGCAGGGCACTCTGAGGCATATGATATTGCAGAAGATGGCAAGCAATATGAGACAAAGATGAGAAAAACAAAGCAACACCAACTCCGTCCCTGTTATTATCAAAGAGTGCATATCAACAAATTGTTTGAAATAATTTCAAACACATTAACAAAAAATGGAGCATTTTTCCAAATATTGAGGGTGTTGTCTGCAAAAATTTGTCTCCCCCTTTTATCAGACTTGTTTTTGTCCCTCCAATCTCCCCACCCTGGCTATGCCACTGCTTTTGGGCCTTAGCACTATTTTGGTAGAGATTTTTATTGGGCGTTTAACATTAGAATATCAACAGAAGATTTATACTTCTAAAAATAAAAGGGACGCTAAAAATGTCTTATATCCAATCTCTATTCTATTACATAGAATTTCAAATTATAGAATTTCGATATGAAATTTTAGATTGCCAAGGTATTTTGAAATGTTATTGATATTTCCTTTGGACCCACCCTGCGTAACCCACCGTCAGGACCCCTAGCTTGTTGAATAAATGCAATAACGAATTGCATTGAGCAAATTAGAAGAGAGCAATCCTAACAAAGTCAAAAAACGATTGAACAGCTATGGAAGAAAACATTAAATTGTTAATAGTAACTTTTGTAAAACCTGGGGGGTGCAAACAAAGGGCCAAGAACATTTCTGAGGAGCATGGCATGGCCCCCTGTCTCCCGTAAAAACGCCACTGATCATGCTAAAACTTTAGTTACAGACGTCGGCGAAAGCTAGAAACATGCCATCATATGGTTAGAAGACCAATTAAAACTGTGATTTAAAACGTCAAACTTCGAACAGTTAAATATTACGAAATAGACAGGTAAATAAAACTGCCTGAACAGACTTGCAGAAAGTAATTTACTGAATTAATCCTCAAGTAGGCCCCCGGGAGCTCATTTGCAAAAATGAAATTTTGGGTAAGGGCTTATTCGAGGGGGGCTTATTCAAGGGGGGGGGGGTTTATTTCAAAGTTTAGCATTTTCCTCAAGGGTTGAAATAAAAACGACATAATTTCCTTAATGAAGTAAACTGGCAAATTACAAAAATTATGAGGATTTAACAAATATTATAACTTTTTATCATCACAAAAGTAGCTTTTTTGCTTTTTGGTCTTATTCGAGCGTGGGGGCTTATTCTAGGATTTACGGTAATGCAAATTTTAGACAAGTTAGAGGAGGAACGATCAATTAGATCAAATAAAATAAATTAGGTTATAGGCAGTTGTTGTTTTGTATTTCATACTCTTTTTTGAAAAATAATTGAAAAGCGTTTAAAAATTCTTAAAATAGTTTAAAAAAATAGCAACAGCAACAACAACAACATGTTCACATGGAGCACACCATAATGGTGGACGACTTAGAGCCACTGAGACTGGCTAAATCAGCGGGATTGTCACTTGAATCATCTCAAAGCTACGTGCTCTTGTTTGCAGATCAAGAAAAATGCAGGTATTAAGTCTTTATTTTTAGTGCGCTGACAAAATTTTCAAACTTCTTGTTTCTTTTTAAGACAGTGCCTTTTTAAGAAATTTTAGGGGGGCAAGTTTTTAAAAGGGACGGGATAAGCAAGTAAAACGGGAGATATGGGGTATTTTCTAGGAAGCTTTTGTGATCCCATACTTCAAAGATATTCATTTCATATTTCAAATGAAATGAAACAGCTTTGTGTTGAAAGAATTATGATATTATTCAAATTCTCTATTTTTGCAAGTTTCTGTAGTTGGCTTTCATTTACGGCGATCTTTTTTCCCAAAAAATCTTGGTATGGCTGGCCATGTGTCAAACTTTGATGTTGGGACGCCATTCCATGCAATGAACAGTTTATTTCTTAATGTTGATTCCCTTAATTTTGAATATACACTAGGGTATCAAAAGTATTGCACCACCTTGTTAAAAATGGCGGCACTTTTTGTAAACTTTTTGGCAGTACAAAACATTTTAATGCAAGAACTGGGTGAAATAGGCGTATTTTGTAGCAAATTTCGGCGGGAAAAAGTTGCAAATTTATTTGACGCCATAGATAACTTAGTTAGAAATGTAAAAATTGAGCAAAGACATTTTGATTTGTAAAAATGTAGACCATGCCTAAGGAAGCAAAATTGTCAAATGAGAGGTGAGTCGCTATAAAATATTCATGGGGAAGTGGTCTTCAATTTTCAAAAAAATGTTGACCAAGATAGATGCAGCCACGCAACAGCGGCGGGAAATTAAAAAAGATTCCTCAAGAGTGTTACAGTAATAAAGAAACCAAGGAGTGGGCGACCAAAAATCAGAGGGGAACGAACTTGTCGGCTTTATTTCACTGCATTTACACCTAGGGGCAGTAAAGGAAATGAAACTCGATACTGGGCAAGGTTTTGCAGCTCAAAATCCGTCCACAAAAAATATAATGAGTGTTTTGAACAAGTACAAAAGAAAAATTTTATCTTTTAAAAAAATGCTCTAAATATATTGAGTTTTGATTGGTGGATGTTTTGTTTTTGACCAATTGCCATTTGCCACTTAAAAACAGAATTAATTTGCATAACATTAGCTTTCCATCATTCATGCTCCATTTCTCCTCCTTCGAGGTGGTGCTATACTTTTGATACCCTAGTGTATAATGTTGTATACAGAAACACTTTTTCCAACGGTCATACTGTCAGGTGATACAAAGATAATGGCAGATAGCAAACTTTGAACAAGTCCAGTACTTCTTCTAAACATGTATAAAATCCTCGTTGAAAAGTCTCCTTTGGCCTGAAATCAGCAAAAGTATCGAATACGTTATCTGAAACTCTTTCACTGGATCCCCTGATATCCCTGGATTATTCAATTAAATCAGACACTCTAAGAGGAAAGGTAGCCAAGAAATCACAATGCTAAAAATCTCTTTGCAATAGAATTGTTTGAAGACGAGTGAAATGGGGATGAATCATGCAAACCAAAAACACAATCAAATTTGTGGCACAAATTCATACCTAAATAAAGACAAATACGTTCCACAACAAATTTTGCTTTCTGACCCCTTACATTTTCTGTGCCTTTGCTTTTATTAATCTGAAATAAATGACCACAGTGATGATACAGGAATTAAACAGTAATTTAAGGGCCTTATTTCTTAAAGAATTGAATCCTATACCAAAGAATACCAATATGCATCTTCATTTAGTTTTGATCCCCTGATTTCCTTCAGTTTTTAGTTTTCGACTGCATAAAAGTCTCCCATGTAAACTTATAAAATCACTGCCATGTAAACACTTATGATATCATATTCAAATCACTTTCTATTACTTATGGCTCCTGCAGGTGTGCCTCACAATCCTACGAAGTGGTGGAAACAAACAAGGGATTATTTTCTGGGGTCAAAAATCTCTTGAGTGTGGGGGCAAAGTCGAGGGATGGTAGGGCAGGCCCTGTTTTAAAATTACTGTAATTTGTAAGATTTTTTACGTTGTTAATCTCACCATGAATCAACGTTAGAATCTTGTTCTGAAGACATATGTTTCTTTGTTTATAATGTTAGCTCTTCATTTTGTAACAAGTGAATCAGACCTAATTCAAGTATTGGAATAGCTATTATCTTGAGGATGCTAGAAAGCCAGTGATGGCTGACACCCAATTATATGTTGTAAAAGAATGTAGTGCTGACAAGTAAATTTGTATTTGTATTTGTATTTGTTTCTACCTAGCATCTGAAGGCAGTTTTTAGGAAACTGAGAAGCTTATGCTTATTATGCAGTGTCCTGGTCCTTCCTCTCGATGCGACCACACCAAGTGATTCCTATGCCTGGAAGTACAGAGAGCTGGCAGCTCTTCTCTCTCTAGGTGAAAGTTTGGTCATGCCAGGGACTCGAACCTTGGACCCTTGGGTCTGTAGTCAGCACCTCTAAGAACTGAGCAATCCTTGCAGTAACAATTAAGGAAAAACATAAATCACTGTAAGCACTGCACAAAATCCTCAGTTTAAGATCTATCTGATGATAAAAAATATTGAAACAAGCGGATTATATCCATTAAATTGCACAAAAGAGCTATCTCTTCATCTTTTGCTTGACCTGTAAAACACAAGCATTTTTTCTATTTTTTGCAACATCTTAAATCGTGCAGGTGAGATGGTCCCTTTCATTTTACTAAAGATGTGGTCGTGCCTCTTCACTTTTCTCTTCTGAATTTCATCCAGATTGCATGCAAAATGTTTATGTGCTACCCTGACGCTAAGTGTGGACTAGTTCCTTGTTGTTAGGGCCATTCTGGTGCCATAATAAGTCAAAACAAAGCAGCTTATAAACCTCGGTTTATTTTTAAACCCTGGTTTATTAGAAAGCTCATCTAAATACATTAAGAAGAATGCTTGCTTTCATAGTTCATACATGATTCATTTTCTCATTGGCATTGAATCCACCACTGCATATTGAAAGTCAAAAAAAGGAGGGAGATAGCGTGAAATTATGAGGAACAGAAAAAATTCAAAATCATGCAATAAAATGCACCATTTCTGACCTCAAATATGATTTTGAAAGAGCACAGCTACTTGCTTTTTTCATCACCACACATTTATGAAAAGGTTTTGTAGGCAGACTCAGAAGTTCTGTATTTCAGAGTGACTTTTGGACAAAGAGAGCAGCTTCAGTGACTCGCTTCTTGATAAAATGCAGTACCACTTCCCCACAACTGTAGTTCCAGTACATTAGAAAATGAGATTTAATACATTCACTGGGCAGGCATATTCTTGAGGGTTTTAGGCAACAGAAAAGATTAGATGTCTTAAAGTGCTCTCAAAAAATTTTTTTAGTGGTTGTATTAAAAAAAGAGATATAATACATTGAGGTTGTTTGGCAGTTTCACAGGGCCATTTTTGCGTTTCTTGCGTCATTCTGGGCTGAACTGAACGAACCAAACTGGTTGCAACAAAAGTTTTCTTTGCAGCAGGACTTTATATTAGAATAGGAAATGAATTTGAGACTGTGTGGATAATTGGAAATATTGCATGCTTTAAGAAAAATTGACAAAACATGATGTTTTCTTTTCATGATGTTATATGTTTTCTTGTTAAATTCATTTTCTATTTGCCTCTTCTTGTGAATCTCACTTGCTGAAACCTGTCCTTTTTATGAAAGGCCATTACTGTTTCAAGTATTCCAGTCCTTTTAAAGGGACCAGGATAAAAAAGTCTTGTGGTGGTTAAAGTCATTGAATTTAAGAGTAAGTGCAGCATGTATGACAATTTTAAGCAACAAGGTTGGAGCCTAGTCGTGGTTGCTCAGCAGCTCCCTGCAAGGCTTATGAAGAAAACTGAGGCCTGATATACCATCCTATGACCCAAAGACTGTTTGCCCCTAAACTATATTCTAAACATAACTGTGAATCACTGTTGATTTTTGCCACCTTTTTGCTATAGCGTTCTATGTAGAGCACACATTCTAGTTCTTCTGTTTCTATGGTCTACCCCATCTGAGATGGCCACGCTTTTAAAATAGTTGCTTTTCAAAGTAATGCCTTGATGCTAGACTGTTCAATAATAACCTTGCTCCTTGCTCACCTTTTGTTTTCTGTTTTATGGCCACTGCAAAAGTTATCTTTTTTGTCATCAAATTGTAAACAATTATGTGAAGCAAAACTATTATAAAAGCACACATAAAAAACCCAAGGCAGGCAGAACTTACGATTCATATTGAAACTAAAGCATTTGAAAAACTTAAAACAAATTTTATATTATGATCATTCTCTGTCTGGTTTTATTTTCTAGTTTAGATGCTGGCCTATTTGCTGTAGCAGGTAATTTTTAAATTTTTTTCAACAGACATTTTTTTAGTTAAAAGATACTGAATGATCACCCATTTAAGGTTACATCATGTTTCATTTTACAATTTCCACAATAAAGCCTTGAAACAACACAACTCTTTATATTTTTTTTTATGTTTCCTCTTTTTATTCCTTTTTACAGTTTCTGAAGAGAATCAAATAAAAGTTTATAGCAAAGAGTCGTTTTGTTGTCAAGGTGTTCTTGAAGGTTAGTTATTTCAAAATATTTAATCATAAATTCATACATTGATTTGCACTCCTTTTTTAATTATCTCTGTATGATTTGCTTCTATTTTAATATAAAGCATACATTCTTTTATTAATAGTTTCGTATTAGGCAAACTTTATGTCGGCTAACCTGTTTAATTACTCGTAATTTTGAGGATAAATCCTTGAGCTAAAGATTTGTAATCAAATTCATGAAAAGAAACAATGCGGCTAGGAGCGAACCCCACCCCCAAATTTTTCAAAGCTTTTTTTGTCTCCTAGAAAAATTATTTGACATAAACTCTTACTGAACAGCCCAGCCCAGCCACCATTGCATTCCAAAATATGTTCAGCGATTTCATTCCTGTGAAATCTGATGAACAGGGCAATATTTAATAAAAGCTTGCGCTCAAGTCAACCATATGCCTTGGTCCGTAAATTTTGTCGAAAGTGGGAAGCATTGTTCTATGATTTTTGGAATGTGGAACTGGGAGTTGTTTTTCTCTATCCATCGCAAGGGTAGAAAGACACAAGTATAATACTCTCATAAACGTATTATGCAATGAATATTGAAATGTAATAGCTTTTAGGTGTCTGAATGCTTTGGATATTTGAAAACTTGAAAGCAATTGCGCTGTGGTCGACTGCATGCTCCAATCCGGAATTTCTCACCATCCTCATACTATCTGGTAGGAAATAACGTTTCAAAGATCTGCACCCGTCGAAATCTGCAAAGCTGAGTTTCAAAGATCTTTTCAAAGAAAGCTGACTTAGACGGACTCTCTATTTGATGTAATGTGCTTTTGTTTCAATTATAATAATTTTGGAGAAATATTCACTTTATCGTTGAAAAATCGACGGATTCGCCGGAGTTTAACGCATGGCAAGAACCGCTATATAAAGTACTACCCAACTTCGAAGTGGAGAATGACTTGGCATGATGGGATTGCAAAAAGGATACGACTTTTGTGTCGTTTTTATTTCGCATTTCGTAACCTGCATAATAAGTTAAAATACACTTTCTCTTTACAGGTTGAAATTTCTAGATTTTATTACGTTTTTGCGGCATTCGTAGCATACACCGACGCTACGACGCTGGGTATTGGCCTATAGAATCCAAGATTAATACACGTATTTTTATAAGAAACTGAGGTCCGGTGCTGGTAGGCAGTTTCTCAAATTTGCTGGCCATTTTGCTGTCAAAAAGTTTCTGGCCGTTTTGCTATCAAAGTTTCTTACATGTTTTTCTAAATTTCTGAGGTAATGAATTTTTTAAACGTGCTTCCAAGGTAAAGTAAATAGTTCACTCATATTCAGAGATAAACTGACAAAGTGATCAAGGAATTTTGTTTTCCTAGAATGACTAACTCTGTTGAGATCTGTAAACAGTTAAGTTCCTTGAACTTCATCCATGTAAAGTCGAAGTCAAAGCAAATTTTTAAATGGGAACTTCTTGAGTGTGCAATTTACTGAGAATGAATGCAAACTGCATGTCAAGTGTAGTGTTGCAATATAATTTTTTTGCGGTACAGAATTTGAAAATGGCTTTGAAAAAAGCAAACATTTTACAACATACTTAAAGCTTTTTCGTCTGACACTCCTCAGAGCATAAAACGTCAGAATAGGTTCCGAAAAACATGTTTGAAAAATATATACCCAGTTGTGGATCGAAATAGGCCAATCAGAAAAACGCAAGCACAAGACCGGTATAGTTGACCAATCAATATAGTTGGCAGAGCCCGGTCGTCCTTCCATCTAGCAGTTTTGGAGTCAATCTACATAAAAACGAAAAAGCCGCCATTGTGTAGACAAAAGGAGTTCGTTTTCTCTCTTGGACTCCATTGGTAATTTTTCTTTAGGCTCGCGGCACTGATTGGTCAACTATACCGGTCTTGTGCTTGCGTTTTTCTGATTGGCCTATTTCGATCCACAACTGGGTATATATTTTTTCAAACATGTTTTTCGGAACCTATTCTGACGTTTTATGCTCTGAGGAGTGTCAGACGAAAAAGCTTTAAGTATGTTGTAAAATGTTTGCTTTTTTCAAAGCCATGTTGCAATATACAGTGATGTTCATTCAGTGTCAAGACTGTTTCGAATGTCAACAGGGAAAGTTAAAACTGCTTATACAGGAAAAGTATAAAAGTTTTGTAGCTTTTTTCAATTTGGGTAGGGCTGTTTCTTAACTTTCGAAAAATTAAGCCTACCGTTTCTTATAACCTGTTTCTTATAAAAATGCGTGTAGTCAGTCACCTCTGAAATAGGAAACAAAGACTAAACATTCGCACAAATCAAAGTAATTGACCAGTAGCAAGTATTGTTGTACCCGAAGACTCTGTTCTTGGACTTTTATCATTCCATATTAGCTGAAGACATAAAATTTGCCAAAGACAGTACAATTTTGAATTTTGTGATTGTTTATAAATCGTTGCTAAATCTCTAAGTGATATGTCGAGCTTAATTTTTCTGTTTGAAACTAATAACGTGGAAACTAATCTATCCCATTTCAGGCTATGATTCTGCTCAAAGTCTAATGAATCCGCTCCTTTTTTGATATAGGGGACTTGCACTGATGTTACTTAGTGTGTTAGTTTATAAGGGGAAACCATCGGTTATCATATCTTATGCGGTTATTAGGTTATACTTAACTCAATTATTTATGCTCTTATTCTTAAACAAATTATGTTCTCGAATTAAACAATAAGACTCGCAAGGGTATTCAATTAAGTACATGTGTAGCAATCTCTAAGACTCATGTTTCCTGGGAAAAGATTGAAACCCACGTCTGGTTTTGCCTAAAAATCATCTCAGTTCCTTTCAATTCTTGTTTTGGTCCACCAGAACTCATATTCAGTCCAAAAAAGAATTGGCTTTGAAAAAGCAAACATTTTACAACATATAAAAGCTTTTTCGTCCGACGCTCCTCAGAGCATAACACGTCAGAATAAGGGTCCGAAAGAACACGATGAAAAATATATACCCAGTTGTGGATCGAAAAAGGCCAATCAGAAAACGCAAGCACAAGACCGGTATAGTTGACCAATCAGTGCCGCGTGCCTAAAGAAAAATTACCACTAGAGACCAAGAGAGAAAACGAACTCCATCTGTCTACACAATGGCGGCTTTTTCGTTTATATGTAGATCGATTCCAAAACTGCTAGATGGAAAGACGAACGTTTGTTGGAACTGGTCAACTCAAAAGTGTTGACGACAGAAAATTATGATAGGATAAGACCCACGGGCTCTCAACGATTTGAAATGTATGGCCTCCCTAAAATACACAAGCCGAACGTCCCACTTAGACCTATCTTGTCCATGATTGGTTCAGCACAACACGAACTGGCTAAGTGGCTTTCCGAAGTTTTGGACCCTGTTCTTCAGAAAAATTCAAAACATCGCATCAAGGATTCTATTACGTTCGCCGAGTCCATGCAAAACTTGAACACCGAAAACGAAACATCTTTTATGTGTTCTTTAGGCATTATTAGTCTTTCCACAAATGTCCCTTTGAGTGAGACCATCAAAATATGTGGCGATTCTTTGTCTTTGAAAATATTCATTGAACTGATGGAAACTGCAACACGTTCAGTTGAATTCAGTTTTATCAATGAAATGTACCAACAAAAGGGTAGTGTCGCTATGGGTAGCCCTCTGGGACCGGCCTTGGTCAATATCTTTGTCGGCTTACATGAAGGGCGTTTGTTCGACTGCGAATAAAAGCCAGGTGTTTATTTTCGGTATGTGGATGAGACATATACCAGAGGCTGAGTGTGATATTTTTCTGAAGCACCTTAATAGCCAACACCCAGCCCTCCATTTTACGTTTGAAACGAAAGAGAATCATTCCTTGCAATTTTTAGATATTTTAGTCAAAAAGTCTAACACTGGATTTCTTACCAGTGTTTATCGCAAGCCTTCTTTCAGGACCGGCGAAACGTATTTGAGAGTTGAGGGCCAAATATGAAAGTCTTGAAAGGGCTTACTGAGGTTTAGGATACAGTTTTTTCTTATTGAGACCATTTTCAGGAACTCTTGTAGAGGTGTTACCCTGCTATGCCCCAACAGCGTCCCAACCATGCCCAACCACCCATGTTACACACACCCCCTCCTCCAAAATAATCGAGCTTACGCTTTTATATCGTAGTACATGCGATTTTTGTTTTAAACATTTGTTGTCTATTCAATTCTAATCAAGCATTTGTTCTTGATTGTCATCCATAGGACACAAAAAGACAATAACTGGTTTGGTATTTTGTGTCAAAAATTCGCATCATATTTGGTCATCATCACTAGATGGAACAGTGAGGTAAATATTTGATTGTTAATCGGGCTTCCATTCAGCTTCCTTCTTTGAAATATGCCGATAGCAAATAAATTACTTCTATTGGTGCACTTGTGCACTGTCATTGCTACGAGCTGAAATGACAATTTGAATCAGAGTTAGGCAACTTGGTAACACCAGACTTTACTTTTTCTAGATGCTGGGACATTTCTTCTCAGGACGTTTTACTTGAAATTCAAAGTGAGTTGCTTTGCACAAATTTCCAACACTTGTTTCACACGGTTTTACTTTTAAAATCAACAGCCTTGCTCTTAAAGTCAAAGCCCCTAATGAGTCATGTTGTAACAATACATCGTAGTGCTTTCAAAGACTATGCTTTCAAAGATTCTTGATCAAAACGTAGCATTTTCAATGTCAAGCACAGGTATTACAAAAAAAATCCTAATTTTGTGAGTATGAGATGCCGTTAAACGTATAGCTGAAAGCGCGCCATTGAATGCCTTCCATTTTTCATCACTTCTTATCTTCATCTTGTTGTCTTCTGTTTCATCATTTACCATAGTTACAAAATTATATCAGTTAATTCTATTAAAGGGCAGTGATTATTCATAATGAAGGTTCTTTATCTTATAGCCTTGTCTGCTTTCCTGTTGATATGTTTTATTTCTCGCAATTCCAGGTGACAAACACGAGCCATTCTCAGCACTAGCTATAAGCTGTGATGGAAAGTTTTTGTGCGCTGGAACTGAAAAGATGGGGGAAGAAGACGAAGAAGACGTCAGTCTTTATGCTTGGTAAAGGTTTCTATTATTAAGTTTTTCAAATTGGTAAATGTTTGATTCAGTCGTCGTTATAATTATTGAATGTTTGATTCAGTCGTCGTTATAATTATTGAATGTTTGAATCAGTCGTCGTTATAATTATTAAATGTTTGATTCAGTCGTTATAGATCGCTACAGCTATTGGTTATCATCGAACGCGGTAAAGCCAATGTTTTATAACTTATGAAGACGGTTATGTTGAAGTTATATATCTTATCATAATTCTCTGACCGATTCCAATTTTCAGTCCTGCTGTTAATCAGGTCTTTTTTTATCAACTTGGTTTTAATTCCAATATTTCTGCGCATGTCAGGAACACTCAAGAATTTCCAACTGTCAAACAACATGGGAAATACGACGACCTTCATTCTGATGACATAACACAGGTTTGTCCATTCTTGTGCTGGAAATGATTTTTGATTATCGAAATCGACTCTGCTAAATTTAACAACGGGGACAAAACTACAGTATTCCTGGTGGATTTTTGTAACTCAGTTCACATCGCTCTGTCAAGATAGTATTTTTTCAACCGTCATCTGGTTCAATAGTGAAATAGCCTCCAGCAAGACAAAACTTTCATCAAGACGTCTCCCTATATTTCATGGAACCTTTTGAATTTCGCGAAATCTTTCACGGCATAAACAAATCATATTTCAGGTGCTGTTTCATCCCCAGAACACATCACTCATGGCTACCGGATCCACCGTAAGTCTAATAACATCTGTAATTTTTATAAAGTTCAATAGAGCAAATACTGCCTTGGCTACGAAAGCCTCAGTGAAAGAGTGGGTCGAGAAGTGGAAGGCTTCATTCCTCCCCTTTCCTTTTAAGGGCTTCCACTAAAGATTTAATTGTATATTTTTAGCGTTTCGTAAATCTCAACACCTGCTTAATAACTATACTCTAGTTTATACACAGGTTAAATGAAGGGCTCGTGTTTTATTTTAGGATGGTCTCGTCTGTCTCTTGGACGTTGGCTGTGAATCTGAAAATGACATGCTGTTGAGAGTTTTTAACACCGAGTCTTCAGTGGTAAATCATTCATTTAAACCAAGTAACTTTCAATCTGGTCAACTTTAATCATTCGATTAAATTTGTTCTTAGAAATTGTTCAATGAATTATATTAATTTTGCAATTATTTCACCCTTGCATTTGTCATTTTTTTAATTCCATATTTTTTTCAGAATAAAGTCGGCTTTTTTGGCCCTGCCTACGAATATATGTTTGCTACAACACACATTGAAACCGTGCATTTTTGGGCCTGCTGCTCGGTGAGTTCAACTTACAGCTTGTCAATTATTTTCAGCAAAATAATATGTTAATTGTGAGTTCAACTCTTTTTCTAACATCTATGTTTATCTAAATGTGACGCATCCTTCATAAAGGCCGGTTTCCACTTGATTCGCTCTGGTCGCGGGACTTGGCGAAATCGAATCAACAAGTCAGCGAATCGGCGAACGTGACCAGTCGCCCAGTAGTTCAACTGAGTTGAACTACTCAGCGAATGGTCGCGCATTCGCAGCGAATAAGGAAGTTCAATTTGCGCATGCCCCAATGTGCATTCGCTCAGTCGCGCGACCAGAGTGAATAAAGTGGGAACCCGCCTGAAAGTGGATTCTTTTATCAAAGTTCAACTGCTGTTGTAAACATTCTTTATGTTTCCATTCTTTCTGTTGCTCTTCGTTTTTGCTATCTTCATATGTTGCTAATTTTCTATTCATTTTTCCCCTGGTCTCGTTCAAAATTCCCACTCAAAGAATTCAAAATTCCAGTTAAAAAAATTTCTGCCTAGTAGCTAGTTCCATGTCAATTTTTGTAATCTAGATATTCCCTTTTTTTGTCCCCTTTTTCCTTTTTTAATGCATTTTAGTTTTTTGCTGGTGCAATTTACATCTATTTCAATTTTGTTTAATGAATGCTTGCCTAAAATGTCGGTTACGTGATCAGAAGTGATCATTCCTAAGCTTTGTCAAACCGCAACGTCTTCTTTCTTTGTAGGGAGATCAACTGGGGGTTTTGAAGGAACTTAGACACGAAAAGGAGGTATAAAGAAATTATTTTGTTTTTCTAGCATAAAACATAAAACTATATCGTGCTCAATTATGCTACTGTTATGGATCTATCAAAGAATGATTTCCAACACAAATTCTGAGTAAAGGCTAAAGTTTTCGGGATGATTTTTTGCTAGGTATTTTGACATAACCCATTAGAATTATCGTTTCTAAACTTCGACTACAAGAGACGCAAGGAGAGCTTTCTAACGTGCAGTCACGTGGAATGACGTGGTCTTAAGTTATCTATTGATACTCTTATTTGAAAAATCAAATATATTTTTATTGTTTTCGAGTATTCATTTAAACACAATCATGCAAATACGTTTTTTAAAAGGACTAAACATATTTGTTGTGTTTCAGTGCCCATGTGAGCTCGATTACATTGTTGATGGGTTTTATCATGAACCATCGCAGAGGCTGTTCTTTGTCGTGGGAACCTTTCGGTATAACAATATCTTTTGAAAGTTTCTTTATTCGATTTCGATCTTTGAATTGCAAGTATTTAAGTAAATAAATTTTTTGTACTTCTTCCAAAAGCCGGGAAATGTCATGCGCTGATGTAATCCTACATCCTTCATTAAGAAACCATTTTTTCTGCACACTTGTGTTTTTATTGAAGAATTTTCTGTTGAGGATTTTACAGATCATTCGTCATCTTTTATAAGTTCTGATCCACAGTTTTTCAAAAATCAAAATTCTGAAAGAATGCTGTACTTTTAGAATCTTGCTAGACAGTGGAAATATTTAAAGAAATAAATTTAATGATAAAGAGAATATGGACAAAACCGGCCCTTTGTACGTGTCTCTTTTTTATGAGTTTGGCTTGTAACTTGGAAGATGTACCTACAGGTTTATTGTGGTTCTCTTAAACAGTGTTTCGCTGCTATATGCGTTTCACTGCAAGATGTAATTTATAGGACAATGCAGGTTTATTTTCTTGGTCGATTTGACCTCTTCTATGTGCCTGTCTAGCAATTCAATGTTTGCATCTTCTTTTAGCTATCCCATATAATTGATAGGACAATGCAGGTTTATTTTCTTGGTCGATTTGACCTCTTCTATGTGACTGTCTAGCAATTCAATGTTTGCATCTTCTTTAAGCTATCCCATATAATTAATAGGACAATGCAGGTTTATTTTCTTGGTCGATTTGACCTCTTCTATGTGATTGTCTAGCAATTCAATGTTTGCATCTTCTTTAAGCTATCCCATATAATTAATAGGACAATGCAGGTTTATTTTCTTGGTCGATTTGACCTCTTCTATGTGACTGTCTAGCAATTCAATGTTTGCATCTTCTTTAAGCTATCCCATATAATTAATAGGACAATGCAGGTTTATTTTCTTGGTCGATTTGACCTCTTCTATGTAACTGTCTAGCAATTCAATGTTTGCATCTCTTTAAGCTATCCCATATAATTAATAGGACAATGCAGGTTTATTTTCTTGGTTGATTTGACCTCTTCTATGTGACTGTCTAGCAATTCAATGTTTGCATCTTCTTTAAGCTATCCAATATAATTAATAGGACAATGCAGGTTTATTTTCTTGGTCGATTTGACCTCTTCTATGTGATTGTCTAGCAATTCAATGTTTGCATCTTCTTTAAGCTATCCCATATAAATGTTACCTTAGGACCATCAGCTTTAAATTGACTTTATAGCCCAGCTTGAAATACGTTTTTCTTACTTGTTGTGAACTAGAAGAAGAATTTCGATACTAAACTTTCAGGTTGTTAAATAATTGCTATTTTCGTTAACAGATATAGCCGCCTTTCCAAGGATTTTTTCTAGGAGAGCGGCCTCTTGATTCTGTTCCTCGATGGCTCTGGTCTTCTTCCCATGTACCTGACATGATTACTGCCTTTTGGTTAATTTATAAACTGTAAAGTAATTGTGGTTGATGTTCTTTACATGTGTTCCTGTCCACATTATATCAAGAACGATAAATCTTGTTTCTTTGTTTGCAGTGGTCAGTTAAAGCTTCTTCATGTCAAATTGGATGGTGTTGAACATTTTCAAAATCTGAACGCCTGTCATTCAGCAACAGTTCGTTGTGTTTTATTTACGATGAAGGTAATCTTCTGACTTTGCGCTGTGGCTTTCGCACCAAGTTATTCTCATTGCGCTGTGGCGATGAACGAACGAACGAACGAACGAACGAACGAACGAACGAACGAACGAACGAACGAACGAACGAACGAACGAACGAACGAACGAACGAACGAACGAACGAACGAACGAACGAACGAACGAACGAACGATTTATGGTTGCATTATCTAATATTTTGTTTTTATGTAAAGTTTTGTCCTATTTTTGTTTTCTATTGTAGACAAATGAGCTGTTAGTTGGTGGTGAAGACGGAATGATGTCTCTTTGGGCCCCTCAGAAAACTGGTAATAATACGGAACTACCCAGTAAGGTAACAAACGTTAAATACCAAATTTTTATTGCACTTATTTTTCTGGGTATCAATTTTGGCATATTTTAGCGTCATGACCATTATTTGAATGTCTGTAATGTAAACTGACTGTGAGATGATGTGACTTTTGTTCTTTTGAGTTCGAAATATGAAATAAGTTTGAAAATATGAAATTCCTGGTAGGCATCGTCAGTGAAATTCTATAATATATAGACAGTGCAACAAGTCCATTTGACTGCAGTACCTCCTTCTACGTAGCCGAAAGAGGCGACACAGTTTTTTCAGTATCCTGTTGCTTTCTTGTACAGTCTACCCGTTTTATTCATCTGTGTAATCCTCCAGCTTTTGTGTTGTCCTCGTGGCAAACGTCAACATCACAGCTATGCCAGGTTAAAAATTGGTTGTACATTGATACCCACCTGAAGGACCCTTTCCTTGTTTTTCAGAGTACTTCTAAATATACGAAAAAGAAAAAGAAGGAGTTGAAACCTTATAAAGTTATGGGACATTGAATCGGGACACATAGAGCAGCCTGTTAAGCCAGAATGGAACAGATATGGACATAGCATTGAATGATTTTCAAAGAGAACGAAGCAACTTAGGCGCGAAATTTATTTTGCTATTATAACTCCCCAACAGGCGCATTGTAGAGAAGAAAGATTGTTTTAAGCGGCCCGTGTCATTCTCTTGTCAATTTAAAACGACCAGTGATTTTGCATGCCAGATCTGATGAACTCGATCGTAATTAATGAAAATTTTCCGATTTTCCTTTTATGCAACATATTATAGTTGATGATTTAGCATCTTTTAAATCAACTATTGTTTATCTTACATAAAATGTATCAATGTATCTCTACATAAAATGTTTCTCCCTTTTGATTGAAAAAGAAATTCAGCTACGCGAAAGTAAATCACCAGTTATTTTATTGAAAAATCCATGTTAAATCTGTGGCTACCATTTCCAAAAAAAACAAGATATTGAATTCAAAATACAATAATCGGTATTAGCACCTTAAAGGTAATGTAAGTGATTTCAGTTGACAACCCGAGGATGTGATTCAGTAGATCCAAAATTTTAAACATATCCATTGCAAATATCAAATGTAAAGATCCCATAAAATTCTTTCAAATGGGCAGAAAGACGCCAAAGACACCAAAGACAACAAAGAAATTCTACTTACCAATGGTTTGTCTCCCGAATTACCCTCACGAATTACTTTTCCACTCACGAACTGCTACTCACTCTGCTATGCTACGATCACATCTTTACTGAAAAGTGCTTAAAACAAACCGAAAAAATTACTGCAGATATTATTTTATCTTAAATTTCTAACCATCATTAACCAAACATTTTTGAGGAGACAATTCATAAATAGTGCAAAGCACGTCTTTCTAGTTCTAGAAATAATGCAAAATCCGTCATGTGATGTAACAGATTTTTAAAGAAATCGTTCGTTGAGAATAAGGTAATTCATTTCTTTTTTAAATGATCTAAAACAAGGTTGAATGTAGAGCGTTGAAGCTGTTTGTTGGTGGTACAAAATTTAGAAATTGCTTTGAATATGGAAGATATTTTCAAACATCTTAAAGCTTTCCCGAAATGCACAACAAAAAAGAACAGGCGCTTTCTTATGTCTGACAGGACTACTGAAGATAAAGAAAATTATGTCTACAAGTGAATATCTATGGTATCCAAAATATAGAACGCTGTTGGTAATACAAAGAATAAAAAATCCAAAGAAGACAGTATAATCAAGTAGAGGGAGAAAGAAAATAGATGCTGAAAGGAGAAAGTAGGGGGTAAAATGAAGCATAAGTAAAATGAAGTATAATATGCAATGGGAGTTTACTAAGAAGTGTTTTTAAGATGTTTAAATGCTTTTAGATTTTAGTACTTTTTATATATCTATATCCACTAAAAGATTACAACACAGATTTACAAGCTACACTACCATACAAAATTACAATAGAACTATACAATACTACTTTGACGATTCCCCGGGGAGCAGAAGGCTATGACTAACCCGGGGCCATTTCGAAACAGAGATTAAAATCAACACTTAAACATTAAATAGACGACCTAAAAGAAAAACAGAAAAAAATACAAGGAGAGAAGAACACCTTTAACGAAATGGGACAGGGTGGCTGGTTGTATCTGTGTGGTTTATTACGGAGTGTTTAAATTTTCTATTCAAATCGAACAGATCTTCGGATAAATTCTAGAGTTAGCAGGAGTATATTTTTATTTAGTTCGTCGGGAAAGTTTTTATAACCATACAATAAAATCTGCATTAGCTCATTATTTTCAAGATTTGTGTATCAAATTGGTGGTGATAAAGCAAAACGTTGAATGAGATATGATAAACCTGTTGGGTCATGAATTCCAGAGACAGATTGCGCAGGGGGACCAATTATTAATAGAAGCTTAGACTTGGACACAGTAGTGGATTGAGCATTCCTAACCCCAGGATCGAGCGTATTCCATTCAGATATGCAGTTGGAATAAAAACTAGATCGAAATGTTTCAGTTCTTGCCCCCAATCGCCCAATAGCATCCTGGATGCGAAGAGAGTATTTAAACTGATGGGGTGGTGGGATAGGCTTCTTAGTATACTGGGAAGTGAGGTTAGATCTTGTAAAACATGGTCATGCATCTACTCCATCAACTGAGAGGCTCCCAACCAAGCTCTGCATAGATTTCTTCTCTTGATGTTCCTCTCCAATTTCCCGTTATCGCTCGCGCAGCAGGGTACTGGACGGACTTTAATTTTTCCTGGATATGGTAGATAACATCTACGCAGTCAAGATAAGGTCGTACAAAGAGCTTATATAACTTGTTTAGGGTGTGTCTGGGCAGGTATTTGGAGATATTTCAGCAGGCCAATACTCTTTCTCGATTCAGATATATTTAATGTGGGCAGAAAAAGACATAAGATTTAATTCCTAGATGTTTATGTTCATCTACTTTCATTACTGGTATGTTGTTAAAGAGAATTCCTGGATGATCCGCTTTTATATTTTTTCGTAAAAATAAGTGTTCCACAGCTGGTTTTTGTGGATCTGGATTAAACGACATTCTCCAGTCATGAGGCCACTGACTTGTTAGCTCCAAGTCATGGTTCATTTCGTTGGCGGCTGAGCTAGGATCATGAACGACTGTAAATAATGATGTGTCATCAGCGAAGAGCTTAACATTGCAGCTGAGATTTTCTGTTAGGTCATTTTTATACACGAGGAAAAATAAAGGTCCCAGAATAGAGCCCTGGGGTACTCCTGTTGAAATACCTCCCTAAGAAAAACTCTGCCCATTCAAAACAGTTCGCTGCCTTCTATCCTTTAGAAAGCTTTTAATAAGAGAGAGAAGATTTCCTGAAACGCCACATCTTGTTAATTTGAAGATAAGACCAGCAAGCCAAACCCTGTCAAATGCTTTAGAAATATCGAGATACACAGAGCGAGCATCGAGAGGGTTACAATCAAATGCTTTAAAAGTTTGTGTGCGTTATGAAGATTAACTGATTGACTGTTGTGTCACCTGGACGAAAACCTGATTGATTTGGGTTTGGCAAGTCAGATGACACAAGATGTGAATATAGGGAATCATAAATGAGTTTTTCGAGTATTGTCCCACAGATTGGAAGAAGTGAAATAGGTCGGTAGTTACCTTTCAGATTATTTTCGTTCTTTTTGTGAACAGGCACAACGTTTGCATGCTTCCATATTTGAGGAATAGAACACAACTGAGACAGTTAGTGAATATTATCTTTAATGGGGCAACTAATGCAGTATTACTTAATTTAATCATTCTCACTGATATTTCGTCCCACCCATGAGCTTTATTATGATTAAGTGATCGTATGATTTTTAGAATCTTTTCCTCAGAGTAAAAAAGCTGTCTTTCAGAGTGGGAGTTAAGGAGGCATGTTCTGGAATTACACTGCCTGTGTCAATCGGTGTACACTGAAGTATGAAATAATCAATGAATAGCTGCGCCTTTTCAGCAAAATCAGTCACAAATTGTCCATTCTCTAAAACTGGTGGTATTTTTGGAATTTTGGCCTTGTCAAAAACGGTATTGATCAACGACCAAAACATTTTGCGGGTAAATCAAAGATAATAAAGATGATAAAGAAGAAGGATAAGAAGATGCAGGTAAAAAAATAGAAGCAGAAGGTAAATGAAAGCAAAAATTAAATAAAAGCAGAGGTTTAAGTGAAGTAGCAGAAAAAAGAAAACAGAGGGTTATTGGAAAGGAGGATCAAAAGAAGCATAAAGTAAAAAGGAAGAAGAGGTTGAAAGCCAGCATATGTTAAAAGAATCATTATACAATGAATAGAGAAAAACTGCCATGTGATACACAGTTTAGAAATATGTTCAGCACCAAGATGAACAAGCTGTGTGAAAAAAGCAATTGATCCAAAGAACGTTTTTGGTAATGTTGAACATATCAGGTTTTGTATAATAATGGAACGGATATCTCAGATTAGATTTTCAACGTCATAACGCCAATTTTTGCACACGATTGAAAAGGTTATTAATGTCAGTTTCGTTGGCTGGTAGGAATCAAATTTCAGATGAACACAAACTTGATACATGGTTGCCACAATTGTTTTCAATCCAGTTTAACAGGAAGATGAAAATCAATCTCTAACGTCATTCCATAACTGGGTCACGTGACTGAGTGTCAGGAAAGTGGTTATCTCTAAAAGAAGCATCTAGCTTCATGTTAAGTTGTTGATAGAAAGTAGATTTCTCGATCAGGGTGTTTCAAATGACGTAGGGTCACCCGAATCCTATCCTCTGCTTGGCAATGTCATCCTCAAATGATTTTGTTGATTAAGTGACTGAAAAACCACGTTATTTTTTATTCTGCAGTAATAGGAAAACGATTCTCTCTATTTGCAGCAAGCATGGGAAAGACAGGATGTCGTAATGCTGATTATATGAATTTACGATGTTTAAATCCTCCTATCATAATGTTTCGCCTATTATAGAACTTGTCTGTTTAATTTTGCAGTTTATCGTCTGTGCAGAAAAGCTAACTTTTTAGATCTCTGAAGCGAACCTTAATAGAGATGATATTTCTAAAGCCTCATCTCTTCAAAAGCTCAAATTTTCACTACCGTAAATCCTCGAATTAGCCCCCTGGGGCTTATTTATTTTTAATATTTTTGGATGGTGGTTATTCGAGGGGTGCTTATATGAGGGGGGGGGCCTATGAAATTATTGTAGACATTAAGTAGGCATTAATAAAAGACCCAGTATATTTAATAGGAGTTTCTTTATGAGCTTTTAATTCATTATTACCATAAATATGGATTTTTATGGTAATTCAATAAAAGGCAACCTCAAATGGCAAAAATCAATGAATCGAGGGGGCCAATTCAAGGAGTTACGGTAGCAGTGTGGGCTTAGTCGAGGGATGGGCTTATTGACAATTTGTAGTCCTAGGATGGAGGCTTATTTGAGGGGGGGCTTTTTCGAGGGGGGGGGGTCAATTTGAGGATTCACGGTAGGCGTGAGAGGGTTCCCGGTCCTCAGATACTTTCCTCATCTACTGTACGATATTCTACCTTAGCACTTCTTTCTCTAGGTCTACAGCTATGAGAGCGGTTCAGTTCAGAACTACTAAACATCACTGAGCGAATATGGTGCGGTTGCCAAGCAATTCTAACATCCAACTGAGCAAGCATGTTGGGTTCTGCTCAATCACAGATTCAACTCATTTGACCAACGCTTAAGAAGATTTAATGTTAAAGAAGGAAGAAACGCAGGATAGGCTGTCCGGCTGATTCTATGAATCTTGCAATGAGTAATAATATGATACAAGGTAATAGTCTAC